GTAATTTTTTTTAATTTTATCAAATTAATTAATTAAATCTTATATTAAAAATTGAATAAGAGAAAGAACTAGGAAGAGGTGGGCCAATGAATACCAATTAACTTCATGCTACTTGACCATGAATGTCATTTCAAACACATCTTTTCCGGCCAATGCAGAGATATTACTGTTCACTGACGGGCATGATGATTTATGACGAAATATATATATATATATATATATATATATAGACACATATACATAAATAGTACTCCTCCGGTCCTTATTATAAGACCCAATTTGACTTTTTATTTGGTCCTAATTATAAGACCCAATCCATTTTCTCTTTTATATTTATGCATTTTTTTCCAAGATAATCCTTCTAATAATGATAGTTTTAGCTAATATACTTAATTAACAAGGATATTTTAAGAATAACAACACTTATTTATTATAAATAACCAACTTAACTTACTTTCTTAATCTCCTCAAATAAGTCAATTGGGTTTTATAATTAGGACCGGAGGAGTATATATATTTATGGTGGCAAGCAGAATATTCCTCGTGTTCCCTAGATTGCCTTCATGATTTTCAGTTCATGGGTGTCCAAGTATGTTTTTACGTGGACACAAAAAAATGTTCTCATTTTCTCATTTATACTGCTCATAATGAATGCCCATGAAATGATGACCATAGAAAATTGCAAATTTTTTATGCATCTGTGACTCATGGACAACGTATATAGACACTTAATATCTGTGGCCTAATCATGTATGCATTTCCTATTTTTCTTATATGTGGGAGAAATGTGTTTAATAATTCAACCTGCAAGCGTCAAATCAAATTTTAATAGTTTACATGAAAAACCAATATGAAAAATATATATTTTTAAAATAATATCAAAAATCAAATAATAATGTTTTCTGTGACCAAAAGGGCTCATTAATTATTTGAGGAGAAATGATTCACTCAAGATTTTGTTGTTTAATGAAGCAAAAATGTTACAAAAATGTATCACTTCAATTCCGAAATTCCAAAAATTCATTCTATAAACAAAAAGACACATCGTTACCGTAGGAATATGTGATTTTAATATTTAGCCAAAAGATGAAATTGTCCATAAGAGATTTTCAAAAAAGAAGAGGCATGCCATTTTTAATTGGTATAAAAGACTTTTATTCTATGATATATACTATTTTGCACCATTTTATTAATAAAGCATTTGTGGTTCAATATATAGTCACCTTTAGTTTTAACATGCAAGTGAACGTCCCTCCTCATAAGACTAACTCTTACCACAAAATTCATTTAAATCACCGTTATGATAGAAAAAGAAAAAAAACTCATTTATAGAAAGCTACTATAGTAGAGAGAATCAAATTAAACAAGAGATAATAAAACTTAACCATGATAGAAAATGGTTTGATCACATATTTAAAACCCTATCATGGTTAAAAAAAATAAACTACTACCTCCGGTTCAAATATAAGACCTCGTTTGTATTTTACAAGTAAGGTTTTATAATTAGGACCGGAGGTAGTATCCTTCTAAAACATCAACCATGATTGAAATGAGGCAACCTACTCTTTCACAAAATAATAGTATGATGACTAAAAGGATTGAAACTACTAACTTTAAACTAACTGTAAAGTTTACCATCTGAAACCAAATATTACTCGCTCTAAAGCCATTTTAGTTGCTGCTATACTAGAAAAGGAAAGCGGTTAAATAAAGAAATCATAGTAGAAAAGATTTAACTTGTTTCAAAAAGGAGGTATCTATGATAGAAAAGAAGTAATCGGTGATTTGGAAAAGTCTATTATGGATAATTAAAACTTCTGTTGCCATTTATGCGAGTTCCTGTTAGAATTGAATAAACTCCACCTTAGAAAGTTAACATGAATAAAAGAAATTTCACAAATTTATGACAACATAGGAAAAATACATATTCCATTTTCAAATACCTTTTCACAATATAGTTTGAAAAAAAAAAAAGGGATAAGAAGAACACCTTACAATCCAAAATGTACATATAAAATAAGTTAGCCTCGTTTACCTCAACTTCAAGCTTAGTCTTACAAGTTTGAATAATAAAGACACCGCTTCACAAGCATTGAATAACAGTTAATCTAGACAATAATGTAGATGAAAATCAATATAAATAAAAAAACCTTTAATATAACCTTCAATAATAAATCCTCTAATTCAAGTGCTCACAACCTTACCTTGATACGAGTATTCAAATCCTTCAACCAAAATTCAATTCCTTAATCCTGATTTATAGTCAATGTCTTGTCAACTCAAATAACCCATTGGAACCGTTATTCAACTTTAGTGTCATCAATTCTTATCAAATCCCCACATTTCACAAGTTAACGTTTCACCTCCAACATATCCATGCTTACAAATATATTAATATCGACAATCTAAACCAAATAAATCTCCTAATTAAACTAACTCATATAGTTGTAACCCAAATATCAGAACACATTTCAAACCTCTGTATTATCAATTTCTATCAATACCCAACCTCAGTCAACAAATCCTAACTCCAAATCATGGGATAATTCAATATTAATAAAATTAAACTGATTAAACCCATAATGTAATCCATATAACTCATTTAAATCAAAGATCATCGGTGAAGTCATAAACCATTTTGAAAGCACCCAAAGATCACAACATTCAACTATTCAAAAATCTGAAAAAGCAAGAAAAAGGTAGAAATCAAGTCTAAATATCTCACTTGGGTGTTAGAAAGCTTCAATCTACTCTCAAATGGAAGAAAATCGAAGCCTTAACAAAGCCCAAGCATTTCCTGCATGTTTCTCTTTTGGGTTTCGCGCCCCTAACTGTTCTCATAAAAATTAGTGACACGAGTACCGAGGCACTGCTTTGAGCTCTTAGCGCTACTGCCCCCTGTCATAGCCATAGCCTCGGTACTGATGTTGAGCACCTGGCATGTAACATTCTTCGTGATTTTCATGCTATTTTACATCTTATTCCAATATTTCCCACTTTCATGTGTCTATAACCTTAAATCCAATAACTATACTGTTCTTAAAACCCCATTTACTTTGTAAAAAAGCGGGAAAAAAAAAAAAATCAAATCTTAACACCCCAAGACCTAATCAATCATGGCCAGCCATCTAACTCCTCAATTTTCCACACAAATAATAATTTAGTACACGTTAACTCTTAATTAATATTAAAATTAAGGTCCGCAGGGTGCTGTGTGTTGCCGATCACTAGTGAGGGAGTTGGAAACTTTTTTTTTAAACAATGACATTTATGACTTTTTTCCTAAATTTCCAAATCTCATTTGGTGATCTCACATCTCATTGGAATTTTGCAATTTCAGTGTACCATTCTAAGATTTCATATTTTCTAGGTTCTTTTTCTATCATTTTTACTTAATCAAGATGCCCTTTATTATTATTGTTTTTTTTCAAAAGAAAAAGTTCCCTCCATCACCATGGCCGCGAAAAGGGGTTAAATCCTCAATAACCCCTATAACCCCTTACCTACCAAAAAAAGATAACCATTACACCACCAAAGTACTTTTAACAATATTATCCCAAAACACACACATTTAGTTTCAAAATGTGTTTATCATAGCAAGCGTAAACGCGCAGAAGAATTTACTTGTTGAAATGTGGATTTAAACTTATCATTCTAGAACTTTTACTTGTTAATGTGTCAAGTTAGTTATAAAGTGGAGATGTATGTATGGAAAAATATATATGGAAATCATTTGCAATATCAGAGTGTGCTTGCATTAAGTTCTATGTGAATTCATTAAATTTACTCTGACGTCATAAATGGATGTCATTCATAAAATAGAAAAAGTCTATAGAAAATTTCGAGCCTGACGATTTTATTTAAAATTATCTTGTGGTTATTTGACCTCTTACGAAAAAGGAATTGTGAGTGTGGAGAAGATAATCTAACTTTATGCTGAAGTCGTGAGCAAAATGCATTTGTCAACTAGCTAATACTTAATGGTCTATTAAACTATTTTCCACGTCATCAATCCCAGCTGCAATGGGACAAACTAGTTGCGCTAGAACAGATTATTTAGCAAACCCAAAAGATTAGATTAGAATGCCCAAAGTCAAAATATTTCTAAATTACAGAAAAAAAAATAATATCACGACGAGTAATCTTTTCTGTGAAAAATTTGATTGAATATTCTCTTCATTTCTTATTATGAGTTTTAAATAATTAATTCACAGATAATGAATAATTAGTTAAAATTAATTAAAAATAATAAATTAGTTAGAAATAGATTTTTTTTAAAAAAATACCCTTATATTAAATGAGAAAAAAGATAAAAAAGAATGTATGGAGAAATATAATAAGTGAGAAATAATTAAAGGTAACATTGAAAAAAATATATTAAATGTTAAGACAAATTCAGATTGAAGTTTATAAAATAGATCATATCTTTTTTTCAAATTTGAAACTTATAAATAGAAATAGGATGAAGGGAGTATAACACAACTCCCATACTCTTTTACACCAAAAAACCCACAAAATTCTTAACTTATAAATACTTAGATTTATTATAATTTTAATTTATATTCTATGAAAGATAATAGTTATATTTTTTTTATAATGTATATAATGTTAACAATCATTTAAACTATTCATACTTTATAAAAATAGCTTGCTTCTTACCGATCAATTACCATATAGAAAGATATATTCATGAGGTGTACTTAATGTCTAGTCATTTTATTAGTGGCCCTTAAAAAAAGTCTAGTCACTCTTTTTTTTAAACCTTGCACGCATATATATATATATATATATATATGAGTTCACAACATTTAGAGACTTATAGTGCTAGGAGAGATATCTGTAGTTATTGTGTGTATATAAATAAATATCCCCCCAAAAAAAAAAGGTGATGTGAGTGTGAATACGTCGCCATTTCCTTCTCCTACAATGAAGGGCTTTTGGCGCGTTCCAGACCTTGCCAGCCATCTCTTTATATAGAGCGATATAGGTGCTAACTCAACACTCCCCAACGCATTCATTCTCATTCTCCTTCTCCTTCTTTTCACTCTGTCTTCACTTCTTGCCCTTATCCAATTAGGTTTTATATGTTCTCCTCCTTCATAAAGCAAAGAATCTTCTGAATTTCTCAGGTTCTCATTAATTCCTCAGAATATTCCCCATCAATATTTCTTCATCTTGCTTCACCATTCTCAATCACGAGAAGCAAAAAGTTGCATAGTTCAGTAGATCATCATCACCATTAAAGTATCTGATATAAGTTCGGTTGAATCAGAAACGATGGCTCTGTACTCTGGTCACCAACATTCTTCTGAAATGGTCTTCGTTTTCATCCTTTTTCTTGTTCTTGAAGGTGAATTTTCTATTCTTTCTGGGTTTGATCAAAATTGAAAAGGAATGGTTGATTTGCTATTGCATTGAATTAACTAAATGATGCTCTGTTTTTACACTGTGCATATAGGAGTTTCAGGGGCTACATTTACGTTTGTGAACAAGTGTGATTACACGGTATGGCCGGGAGTTCTGGGAAAGCCAGACCTTGGAACCACGGGATTCGAGCTCTCTAAGGGAAGTTCTCGAGGTTTCCAGGCTCCAGCTGGTTGGTCCGGTAGATTATGGGCTAGAACCAACTGCAACTTCGACGGTTCTGGTCATGGAACATGCGCCACCGGTGACTGCGGATCCGGCAGTATCGAATGCAATGGCGCCGGAGCTTCCCCTCCGGCGACGCTCGCGGAGCTCACGCTCGGCGCAGCAGGCGCGCAAGACTACTACGATGTCAGCCTCGTGGATGGCTATAATCTGCCGATGATGGTGGAAGCGAATGGAGGGTCAGGATCATGCGCCACCACTGGTTGTGTGACGGATCTCAACAGGCGGTGCCCGTCGGAGTTGAAGGCAGACGGCGGCGACGCCTGTAAGAGTGCTTGTGACGCCTTTGCGAAACCGGAATATTGCTGCAACGGGGAATTCGGTTCGCCGTCGACGTGCAAGCCGTCGACGTATTCGGAGATTTTCAAATCGGCGTGTCCAAAAGCGTATAGCTACGCCTACGATGATTCGACGAGTACTTTTACTTGCGCCGGAGCCGACTATACGGTTACGTTTTGTCCTTCTTCCTCCCCAAGGTAGAGTTTATGCAGTTCATCACTTTCACTCTTTTTTTTTAATATTTTTTTAAAAAAATTTTCCCACTTAGATCACCCCACTGCTTCTCAAACTCGGCTCCCCCCCCCCTCCAATGAAAGAATCTAGCATTTTGTTACTTAAATTTTCTATACAAGGGTTTTAATCTCTTGTAAAAATTAATGTTTTAAAAATAATTTTTTTCATAGGCATAATCCGAGCATAATTTTGGCAAAAAGAATCCAAGTATAATCTGTTTTTCAACACAAAATACAAACGCTGTACTTGGTACCGTAATTTTAAAATAATTATTAAAAAAATGTGTGTGTTTTTTAGATTTGGAATTCTCAATGTCATTTTACAATTATTTTTTCAAAATTAGGAATAAATTTTCTTTCAAATTTCTTATATTTAGAAATAAAATTTTTTATTATGAACTCAGAGTTAACAAATATGTTAAGTTACGTACATTTTTTCAAAAAAAAAAAGAAGATGATTTTAAGATAAAATAAAAGCAAAGATTTTTATAGATGATTGAAATCAAATTGAATTGTTGACATAAGTATTATTTATTTTACGATAATTTTAAGAAATTAACACTAACTTTGAAAAAAAAATTTAATCATAAAGTTGCCTCAGATTTTTTTTAAAAAAGTATTTGATGATAATTGTTCTGATTGAAAGTAATGTTAATTTGAAAGAAAATCTCCCTAAAATTATGACCTTATTGACCCCTTTGTCTTTTTGTTATTACAGTCTGAAATCCTCATCGATAGGGGTGGACGCCGGCCAATCAGTGCAACAAGCAGCCACGGCGACTTCTTCCTGGATTGCAAATTTGGCCAGTAGCCGTTCCACTTCAATCCAGCCTTCAATCTCTCCACTTATTCTTCTTCCCCTTATTCTCATTGTTTCCTTCATTATTTAATTTTAAGTTTTGCCCATTTCAAATTTGATCTTTTTTTTTTAAATTTTCTCTGTAAATTATATATGCAATTTCAGCCTTCAAGTTGCAGGATCAATTTCGTCCTTTTATTTCTTGATGCTTCTGTAAATTTTTATTCATTCTAGTTAGGGAGAATCCCATAAAAAAAAGCTTGAAATCACAAAATACCAAATGAAAAGTTTATAAAAAAAAATCGATTGTTATTTACAAGTCTAGTGTTGTCAAAACTAATTAAAATGTTATTACTAAGTTTGATTTAAAATTTACTAATTTCAAGTTTCTTTTGTTGGGATTCTTCTTTATAGCTATGTGTCTTTTGGATTTGGGAAGCAGGGATCATAAAGTCTTTCTCAAATATTATCTCCATTATTTCATATAAGAGTTAGTTGATCGACTAATTTGAATATATTAAAAAAATTAGTTAAATTAGTTATATATAATAAATATGTGTTATTTTTTCTAAAATATTTTTACCAATAATGTGTATTAGAATTAACAACTACTATAAGGACTACTTTGAAAAAAAATAATAAGTATAAGAGACTAAAGTGGATTAGAGTTTTATATTTAAAATCAAATCAAATTACAAATTAGTTTTTATATTAAGGAGAATCATTCAAAGAACAAAGTCATTTTCCAGCAATTTTTTTTCGGTGTCCTGCAAACATCATAGTTGACTGATATTCAGGATTCATGTGGAATTAAAATGAGAAAAGAATAAATAATTCTGTACATAAAAAATATTATTTCAAACTCTTACTTCTGGAAAATGATAAAAAGTATTGTTAACATTGTTGATTAAGGGCTGAAAATAACAATATCATGAACATCTTAAAAACATATATCCGCTTTGATTTTATCTTCACTTCAATCAAAACCATACTTTTCAAAGCAACCAAAACCAACAAGTAAACTACAAGAAATATGATTTGATGATTGTTTAATTAGATTGTGATTGTGATTGACTAGAAATATAAAAAAGTATCAGGAGTCCTCTCATAAAAAGATGAATTTATGACCGCTTAAGCACAATGTTCTCGATTTAAACTTAGATGACTGTAGAAGATAGTTTTAAGAGAGCTGGACCCATGATATTTAAGAGTAATGTTATCTGATATAGATATTATTACCTTTATAAGATTTAATTAACTAATTTGAGGGTTAAGAAAATTTAAAAATACTTTAAAGTGTTTTTTTTTTTGTTTTTCTGCAAACGAATTTGTCTAACTAATAAACTAATACACATAAGTATTTTAAAAAAAAATCTTGTAGTATAAGCTATAATTAATCAAGTAATTTTTTTAATTTCTTTAAATTAGCCAGTCAAGTTTTATACTGAAAACGAGAGGTAGTATTTTATTATTGGATAATCTAAATTAAAGGGGGTAAAGAACCAAAACAAAAAGAGAGGAGGTAGTAAGATGCAAGCTTGGAATCTTGTGCATTATATGGAGTTAAAAAAATTGAGATACACTATTAAACAGTTTGTAAACAACATAATATGACTTATTCGAAAATTTGATAAAATGTGAAAAGATGAAGCCAGAAACGCTTGTCTGTTTTATATAAAAATCTTGAACTATCCTTCACGAGAGCACGGCTCTAGTGGGACCAGCAACTGTTAAATTATTTAAATTGAAATAGCCACTCAGGAAGAAGATATTTTTAATCCAGGGGGAGTACGTGTCTATATACAAATATATTGATTTTTTAGTCACTATCGTTATTGCTCCTCCAGCACTTAATATAAAATCTATTTAATTAATTTAATTAGATTAAAAAAAGTTACGTAAGTTAGTTAGTTATAAGAAATATCACATGCTTTTTTTAAAATATCATAATTATCTTTCTTATTATCCTATCTCCCTCTCCTACTTGAGTATGGTTGAGTAAGTATCAATAGATATAATTTAAGATAACAAGTATGAGAAATAGATATTATATTTAAGACTAAAATTAACTCAATAATTAAATCTTATATTAAAAGTAAGAGAAGTATGTACTATAGTTCTAAATATAAGATTTAATTTGTAATACAAACTGTACATAATAGAATTGTTATCACGCTAATTACAGGAGAAGCATGTTTGGGATAAGGGAAAAAAAGAAGAAGAAGGTGTGAATGAGGTTTAATTGGGTGTCAAGGATGGGATATTTGGAGTTGAAAAACGAAACCCAAATCTGAACCTTTTTAGAAATGTCATCATGAAGCAAGCCAACAATTAACCTGCATTTTGTTTAGGGGCCGCAAAAGATAGATGACAAAAAGGATTTTAAGTTTGAAAAGGCTCATCATTAATGTTTCTGTGCTAGCTTAAAGTGTCTGGAAATGCACTTTGGATATTGTTATATACTAGTCCGATTCTTTGCAGAAGAACTAATTTAATATTTAATTTAATTTTAAATATAAGATATTGATTTTTTTAATATTTATCTATTTTGCCTTCAAGTAATCTCTATAATAGTTACATATATTAAGGAGTTAGTATTAATGGGTAATTCAAATATACATAATTAATGAGGATATTTTAAAGAAATAATATCTATTTATAACAAATAACTAACTTGACTCATTTTTTTAATTTTTTCAAATTAATTAGTTAATTAGGTTTTACATTAAAAATAATATATAATAGTTTTTTCTACCACACCAAATAGGAAAACTACCTAATGTAAGATAATTTTTTACTTCTCTATATTTACGTACACGTCTCACCAGCAGTATAGGACTAAATCAGTGAACCCCACCCTTACGTAGGTTGGAAAAACTAGGCTTCATGACATGAAAACACACACTAGGCTTTTTTGAAAACAAAAAATTAATCGTTTGGTCTCAATATTTTTGCCTTAATTGTTATTTAATTCTTAAATTTTAATCTGATACAACTCAACTTTTATAGTTTTAATTTAATTAAAACTCAATTTTAGAACTTTTACTCAGCCCAACTTCAAAGATTGATTTGTAATTGAGTAAAAACTACAAGAATCAAATAAATAATTTTCCCATTTTTAAGTAACACCAAATGTGAAAACCATATAATACAAGTGTGGTACCTGAGTGGTAGATTATCCTGTTTATCTACATTTACATGCAAACATTTCTCAACCATGTGGAGAATCATTACCCCAAACAAAATCTTTAACGATGGTTAAAAAAAGGCTTTTTACGGCAGTTTTTAAGGTGTAATGAATTCCATTAATGTTATAAACAAAAAAACCGCCATGAAAAATTACTTTCTATGGTGATTTTATAAAGGTTCAGGTTTTTTTTTTCAAATTTCCATTCAATTTCCTATACAACCTCTCTGCAATGCCAATTACGTACAGACCAATTCCAACCAATATAACAGAAGAATGCAAAACAATTTCAACACATAAACTCAAACGTAACATTAACATAATTAATGTTTTCAATTCTTATTTAATCAACTATACTTAATAATCAACAACATTAACTAATCAATGTTTCAACTAAACATATATAATAAATAATGAACTAAAATGTGAATGACTTAACTAATTCACATTTTCAAAGTCGTCAAACAATGTTGTTGACAAAGTATCTGTTATTGAATTGATTTTTTTGGGATCATATGGCACACTATCTTGAAATGCCTGTAAATTAAAAATAACAAAGTCATTAGTCAACTGGATTAAAAATGTGAAAAGAATTGAAGAATTACAATGTAACTCATATTTACCTTGTCTAACTTCTCAGTAACTCCTGTCTTAATGATGTCATCAGATGATGTAATATTCGCATTGAACACTCCTGGGTTGATAACGGTACTAACAAAATGAAAAATAAAATTGAATATCTAATTTTGATTATCTGAAAAATTTATAAACATATACTTAGCTTAGAACAACATACTTGTGGGAGAATCCATGTTAGTGGTGGCCTTTTTTTTTTTTTTTGGCTTAGCCAGCACAATGAAACTATAAAAAAACCTTATTAGCAATTAGGGGAAAAAAATGATATTAGAGCACTTTTTGTAAACTTTACATGTAATAAATATATCAACATAAACCCACGTGTCAATGACATCGTTGGTTTCGTTTCGTGGGGCTCCAAGGAGGGAATCAAACTAGTAGACATTGTTATCAAGGGGAAAAAACAATAAGGATCCAGTAATAACTACAAAATACAAGACCATGTTAATTATAATCCTATATATATAATTTGTGTGCATCTCAAATACAATAATATACTTACCCTCCTATGTAAGGTGCAAAATATAATTACTTTTTCATCTGAGTTATTATAGTCATCATGTAAATCGATCTAACTTTCATAGTATTTATTACTTTTTGCATCTTTTGAGGATACATAAAGCCATATGTACCCTCAAGTCCTCTATCCTTGCGAATGCAGGTAAAGTGTCTGTTGTTCAAATAAGAAAAATTAGGACATGCATAAGTATAACATGAAATAAGAAAATGATATTGTGACTTACAAAATAGCTAGTTGTACGAAGTCTATATCTAGCTCCTCAAAGTTGAGGAACTGAAGAAGGTTCTTATTAATGGTGAAGTCATATGTTAAATCTGAACCCATAACCCTTAGTGGCATTTTGAAAGTAAGTAGCTACTCTATATGTTGCACCATGGAATGAAGAACCGCTAAACTTCAATATATAACCTTAACACCGGCATCAAGAGGCTTGAGGATAGGAATTGCATTCTTTGTCGCCTTCGTCACTGTCGCTTTCTTTTTTATTACTACTGGCTTTTCAACAAGTCTTCTTGGCCATAGAATGAAATTTTCTTTTGCTTGGGCTAATAGTCGAACCTCATCAGTAGGGTTGGGCACTGGTGTACCAACATGACCAATACAGACTTTATCCACTGTCACCCTCACTTGACCCTTTGGGATTTTTTTGCCATGGATTGTTGTGTCCAAGAATGCTCGACTATTAGAAACATGGCGAGTTGAACCTTTAGAGTCCACATAGAGAGCACACGATAGTTCATTATCTTAGGTATGGTCAAGGCTACATTTAGGGTCAGACACTGTCAACTGTTGTGTCTGATTATTACTGGCCTTCCCACTTTTAATCATATATAAACCCTAAAACATAGAAAAAAA